AATGGGTATACATCCACATGATATTGATTTTGCTACAACAGCAACACGTAATTCATATTTATTTGCTTTAAATAATTCAGCTAATTTAAGTAACGATGGTGTTAATAACGTTCGATATTCAGGTGTATCAATTTTTTGTGTAATTAATTTTTTTGATTGAGCTCGATACCGAACAACTGTTGGTGTACGAGAATAATATTTAAGTGAAGAAATTAGATGGGCAAAAATAGGCTTGAATAAAAACAAGCGATTATAATGAAAACATATTACCATCTAGAAAACATATAATAAATTGTATAAACATCTTTGATTCAATAGAAATTATAAATAGTAATAATAAATTTTCTACATCAAAATCTATATTTAATCAATTCATTTCTCTTCAAAACATTTTTCATCTTGTTTTTTCGATACAAATTCATTTACAATAGTTGATCAAGATTTCTATATCGCGAAACGAAACGAAAGAGTGGTCTTTGTTATTCTCCAATCATGTAACGCTAATTGATAAATTTGACATAAACGGATGTCACGCATACATGATGAAAGTACAGTACAAGAAGATAAGACAAATCTCGCAGTACTTAAGTGTTCTTCTAACAACTCCGAGAATACGTGTTATTAGGGGCAGCAATATCTTTCTATCGCTACCCCTAATTTTCTATAGAGCTAGGAATTGCTACCCCTCGCTACTATGGCACGCCGCCTATGCTAATATATTCTAATTAATTCATTACGTAATACGGATTTAAAATCATTTATCCCGATTATTGAAAAATATGTTGCTTGATTGTAGCAACAAAATCGTAATCAAACTGAAAAAAGTGTAACTATATTTATTTAACTATTGAAATCCAAATAAAGTTTTTTTTATAGTAAATTAAATAATTATTTTTATTTCTTATATTCTTCAAATCTATTATTGACTTTATATATTCAGATTAAAGTTAATCGCATATTAAACTTCTGATTTAAAACATGTTATTTCTATCAACAAACACATTTTCAAGAAGCAATAACAGCATTGATTTGGATTCCTCTTTAATTTCTGCAATCGCACTTATATTTCATGTTATTTTTGTTATTATAATTTTAACATTCTCATTTTTTTCTCTCGATCATTTTCTACAAAATAATTTTTTTTCAATCACATTACTTCTATCAAAAAAAAAGAAACGTATTGAACAAGAAAAATGAAACGATCTGTTGAACAATTAAAACATATCGATCATCTATCTCGACAAGTACGTCATCATCGAATACATTTGAATCAAATGTATGATCAAAAATTATCTCAGGAATTACATACTCTAACTAAACAATATGCACAAACTCTTAAATATTCTAAAAAAGAACATAAACTTGAACGACGACGTAAAGAAGTATTTGATGTTACTATTCGACAAATTGCACATGAACGACAACAATCATTATCTACAAATATAATACAAAATGAACAAAAACTTCCAAAAATTAGTAATCAAATAAATGGACATAGAGATGAATTTTTAGAAAATTGTTCATCATCAAATGATTTATTTTCATCTGGTAGCTCCTGCCAGTTTTTTTCACAAGACTGTCAATTATATCCATGTCAACCAGTCTATCATTACACTAGTTTTATGACAAAAGATCATGATCAAACATTACGAAAACGAAAATTGTCCATTGCAGACACTGATCTTAATTTATCTCCTATTCAACAGTTATTTACAAAAATTGAACAGAAAAAATATCATCAGAATCGTCGACAACTAGCAGCAACAGTTAAAAATCAAAATTATCTTGCAAATCGATATGTATATATAGGAAATACAAAGGCACGTCTTGATGAACAAAGTCGTTTATTACATGAACGATTAACTGATAGAAGAACTTTTGGTTATGATAAAGAACAGCAGAAAGAATTACGACAATCGATAAAACGTCATTTAGAAATTTCTGCAAAATTTTTGGGATAAAAAAAAGAAGAAGATTTTTATTTATTTTTTAAATATCTTCGAATTTAATTTCACTTATTGCATCCTTGTTACTTTTATCTTTTGATACAGCTGATGCCATTACACCTTTTATAATATCTTCAGTCATCAACATACTACTATTCCATGCACTCTAAAAAAAAGACAGAAAATCTATAAAAAAATAAAGGAAATTCGCTTTATGAACATACCGCAAATAGAAAATTATCATCAACTGTATGATCACGAGCATAATTTAAATTTATTTTTGAACCTTGTACAGCTACAGGACTCTTACGAGCAATAACACTTGCCAATGAAATAGCTGCTTCGAGAACAGCTTCACGAGTATCAAATATACGACTAGAAAAAAATATATTCATTATTTGATTTGAGATAAAAACGATTTCATTTATTCAAAGGACTATGTAGCTCTCTTGTGTTAATATGTCCTTACCCGATAAGTCCAATTTGTTGTGCTTCATCACTATTAAATGTTCGTGATGTATAAACAAGCTCGCGGAAAATACTATGATTAGTAATTGATTTAGGCAATATTTGTAGAGTACCTACATCAGCTGCCAAACCTATATCAACTTCCTATAAATATATCTAATGTTTTTGTCTATAAAAATATATGTATATACTTTAATGGAAAATGTTGTATCACGTGCACTATAACGAATATCACAACATGCTGATAAATCAACACCTGCGCCTATACAATGGCCATGAATCGCAGCAATAACTGGTTTCTCACACTATAAATATCCGAAATCGTTTTCATCTCAATGAATCTATGGACAATTTTATTTACTTTATCAACTGATCTTAAAGATGCTTGAGTACTTTGTATCATACGTCGAACGTGTAATGCTTTCCGTGCTACATCATCGATTTCACCGAGTTCGTTAACTGAAACACCCGATAAATATTTTACATCAATACCTAGAAAATATAGATTTTAATAAATAAATTCATACATGAAGAAAATTTACCTGTACTAAATGCTTTTCCAGAACCGGTTAGAACAATAGCACGACAAGATTTTTCTGTATTTAATTGTTCGAAACATACTTTTAATTCACTTAAAAAAGAAAATGAATAAATTGTTGTCAAAAGAATTTAAACGGATTTACTCGAATAATTGTTTGTTCATAGCATTGAGTTTTGATGATCGATTTAATTCAACAAGTGTTACATGTGGTTTAGGTTGACTTAGTTTCAATGTTTCATATGTAGGTAATGACGACATTGATCGACAGATTGATCGAATAATTTGTTGATCTACATCGAGCAAATGTTGACTGATAAGGAAAAATAGTCAAAAATCTTACTTGAATACATTCGCTTCATCATGATTATACACTGAGTAATTGTGTTTTTTAAAAACTAACTACTTACAATCAGCTATATGATAGGTATAGTACACTAGTTAGTTTAGATACAGAAAATATTATTGGATCAAACAATATTCAGTAGTACGAAAGATTGTATACGAAGAGAGGGCGCTAGACATCAATGAAATTCTCAAATTAGGATATTATTTATAACTCGATATAGACAAGTTTGAGATTAAAGATCAAGTATCTATCATTTGACGTTCTAATGCCTTTTTCAAAGAAATACCCATAACTGTAATCGATTAATTCATTGTACTGATTGTGAATATCAGGAAAATAAACTATATTTTACCTAACTATGCTCCGTTATCTATAAAAAATGATTTACTATATATCATACTTTACTTATCAGATTTATAATATTTACTCTCTTTCTTTTGATTGAGTATTATATTGACTATAAACATTTCCGAGTGTTAACAATAAAGAAACACTTTTGCTTTTTAACACATAAGGCCTTATCTTCACTAGAAATTTTAATGCGGAATTAAGGAACTTGATTAGTTGAAAATTTGATTCACATTTAAAGTCTAACCAAGTCCACGTTCTCCAATTGAGTTAATGAAAGAACCACCTCTTTCTGCATTTTGATTAATGCATTAACTTTCTAAGTGTAGACACGCGTGATTTTGTGCGACTTTTAATTCACATTTTTTTTCTAGTGGAGACAAGCAAGGCCTTACTATTAATAATTGTCTAGAATTTTTATATAAAAAAAATGTCATCGACCGATATACAACGAATAGAATTATTAATCCGTATATCAAACCAGATTAGTCGTTACTTTTCTATATTTATTTTTTTCGGTGGTACAGTTGGAAATATTTTTAATATTATTATTCTGTCTGATCGATCGATTCGTAAACTGCCAAGTGTTTTCTTATTTTTGATTGCATCAATTGCAAGTCTTATTGCAATACATCTAGGTCTTATTACTCGAATGCTATCTGGATGGGCATCAGATCCAACTTATTCAATAGGATGGCTTTGTAAACTACGTACTTTTCTTGTATTTGTTTCGAGAGCAGTTGTATTTTGGTTATTCGTTCTGGCTACTATCGATAGATTATTACTATCATCATCAGAAAATCGTCAACGTAGATTAAGTACAATGAAAAATGCACAACGTGGTGCACTATTTGTTATAATTATGTCCATTATTATTTATGCTCAACTTTTCTATTGCTATGAAGCTAATTTAACAAATGCACCATTTCAATGTTATGCAAAATCATCGTCATGTCAACTATTAACAGATATGACATTCGCATCATTCACTACAATAGTGCCATTATTATTAATGCTTATATTTGGTTTAATGATAATCTCAAATATTCGTCAAAGTCATCGTCGTCTATGTCAAACATCTATAGAAACAATGACTCACAGATTATCACCATCTCAACAACGATCAAAGAAAATTGAACGTCATCTTTTATTCATGGTTTTTACACAAGTTCTTGTTCTTGCTGTACTTACTCTTCCACAAGCTATTCAAAGATTATATGCAGCATTCATAGGTCCATACAATTCTCGATTACAAGCAACTAAAGATATGTTTGTGTATAATATTGTTCTTCTATTAACTTATTTAGCTAGTGCTATGCCGTTTTACATCTATACATTAACTGGTGGAAATTTATTTCGAAAACCCTTATTAAACTTAATGCAACGAATTTATCGATTAATTTTATGTCGACGATTTTAAATTAGTTAGATATAAGTATTGAACGTACTATTTTAATTGCGGAAATGTATACTTAAAGAATATATTTTCTAATTAAAAATGTATGAATTGAATTTGTTTCTTTTGACGATGTTCTCTTTTAATCATTTAAAAAAAAGATATGCAATCAAGACGCAAAGTTCAGTAATTTCAAAAAATACTGAACCCTGGACTGACATATCATTT